AACTTGGGCCAGTGAAGCAACGTCCTCCACAACTAGATTGAAGAACAAAATGACAGCAACTTGTCTGTTCCCCTTACCCCAATTCCCCAGCACTGTTCCTATCCCCCTAATTCCCCAATAAAAAAAAAAAATCTTAAAAAAAAAAATTACAACAAAGGTTCATAGAGAAAATTAAGAAATTGAGAAAAGGCAATTCTGAAAAAAAGAATTGCATCAGAAAGAAAAGAAAGTCAGTACATTATTTGATCTAGCACAGAGTAATATCTGCAAGGTCAAGAGAAATACTGACTTCATTTAACCCAATTGTTTTTACATAACTACATTTTTTTTAATTGAAATAAAATTCACATAAATAAAATGCACCATTTTAACTATTTTAAAGTGTACAATTCAGTAGGTTTTATTCACAATACTGTACAACCATCTCCATTACCTAAGTCCAAAACATCTTCACCACCCAATGAGAAACTTCGTACCCATTAAGCAGTCACTCTACACCCCTATCTGCACCCAACCCCTGGCAACTACTAATCTACTTTGTTTCTACAGACTTGCCTCTTCTGGACATTTCATATCAATGGAATCATACATCGGTCTTTTGTGTCTGGCTTCTTTCACTTAGCACAGTGTTTTAAGGTTCATCTGTGTTGTAGCATGTTATCAGTATTTCATTCCTTCTTATGATTAAATAATATTCTATTGCATGGGTATACCACATTTTGTTTTGCCATTCATCAGCTGGTTGGTTTGTTCCTACTTTCTGGCTATTATGAAAATGCTATCATGAACATCTGTGTACACATTTTTGTGTGGACATACGGTTTCATTTCTCTTGGGTATGTACGTAGGAGTGGAACTGCTGAGTCATGTGACTCTATGTTTCACTTTTTGAGTAACTATCAAACTGCTTTCCAAAGCAGTTGCACCATTTTACATCCCCACCAGCAGTGTATGAGGGTTCTAATTTCTCCACGTCCTTGCCAACCCTTGTTATTTTCTGTTTCTTGCTTTTTAAATTATTATAGCCATGCTATATGGTGTGAATTAGTATCTTATTATGATTTTAATTTGCATTTTCATAGTGAATAATGATTTTGTGCTTGTTGGCCATATGCGCACCTCCTTTAAAGAAATTTCTAAGACCTTTGCTGATTTTTTAATTGGGTTGTCTTTTTCTTGTTGAATTGTAATAGTTCTTTATATATTCTGGATATTAGAACCTTATCAGATATATGATCCATAAATATTTTCTCCCAGTCTGTAGGCTGTATGTTTACATTCATAATAGGGTCTGTTGATCCCTTACAAATGTTGGACGTTTAATATCCCTTTCCGGAAGCTTTTCAGGTGTTCCGAATGTCGTCATTATGGTAGGTCCTTTTGGTTAGAAGAAATGAAGCCTTTGGCTCTGTGTGAGGACTATATCCTCTTCTACCATGGCTAGAAGTCAATAGATAAGGTCTAAAACTGATATTTTTTAAAATGGTGATAAGCGCATACATTTTGGAAATATGAAGGTGAGTACCAGGGCCAACAGCTACAAAAACTGAGGGTGATTTATGAATGGGGAAGAATGTGACAGAAGCCTACTTTTAAAAGACTTTCAGTACTATCTTCCTTAAAAACCATGGTCCTGGTTTATTTTGAGAGGAAAAAAACCAATTATGCTTAGTTTGCCAGCTTTTAAGTGTATGAGTGTGTGGCCGCTGGTCCTCTGGAAAATTCTCCTCTGACCCACCACACCATCACTCCCTCTCTGCCCCCACCCCCCCATTACCCTGTGGTTCCTCTAGCTTTGTGCTTATTACAAATTTACTGAGTACAAGATACTGTTAAGTTATGATGAATTTTAGCAACAACAAGGAACAAAAATCCAACTAAATCATTTTTGAAGACTGAGCTTTGAATGGAAGCAAATGGTCTACAGATCCTCCCTATAGAGCACACATGACCTCTTTCACTTGTAGTTAGCTGCTGGTATTAAGAATAATCTATTCTCAGGCCGGCCGAGTGGCGCGTTGGTTAGGAGTTGGCTTGGGACGCCAGCTCTGAGCAGCAGGGCCTCGGTTCGGATCCCACATGGGCCAGTGACGCTGCGCCCTCTTCAGCTAAGATGGTGAACAACAGCTCAACCTGGAGCTGGGCTGCCGTGAATCGCAGGGGACGGTGTAGGCTGCAGTGGGGCTGACCAGCAGCTGGCGTGGCCTGCCGTGAGCTGCCATGAGCGGCCGTCCAATGGCCGGCGAGCCACTGCCTCACCTGGGAAGAGCGCAATGATAATACCAACATGGACCAGTGAATCGACATCCTCCACAATTAGACTGAAGAACAAAAGGACAGCAACTTGTCTGTTCCCCTCCCCCAATTCCCCATAAAATCTCTCTAAAAAAAAAAAAGAATAATCTATTCTCCTTTTAAAATTGTTCTTTTGTAAATTGAGGAGTATTTTATTTTTCCACCTTTTTTGAGGCAGGGAGAACTTACCCTGACTCTCTCCATCTGGGTGCCAAATGGGTACAATAATTCAAACAGAATGAGGCCTAAAGAAAAGATGTCCACTTTATGCGAGTAGTTGCTTCCATGAATCTGAAATCCCATATAAAGAAGAAATATTAGAAAAAAATTATCAGAAACAATACAATTGATAATATGGCACTGGTGAATCCTAAAGTTGACTTAGTCATTTCTCCGCTTAAATATAACTGTATTTATAAAAATGGTAGCAAAGAGTTAATCTCTCAAGCCTCTTTTCTTCAACTCATTGCAGCAAGAGCAATTAAACTACTCAGCATCACAGAAGGAAAGGCCAGGAACCGCTCTGAGATATGCATCAGTAACACTGGCCTGGCAGAAACCTGGAGCCTTGCAATGCAAACGTTTGTGGGAGCCAGAAAGAGCTGCTCAACTACCCCCCGGGGTGAAGTTTTTCAAAGTGAACACTATCTAAAGCAAATCTCTCATTTCTAATCACTTTAGTCCTCACTCATTTTTATGAGAAAATCCTCATTACTCCAAACCACTAATCAACTGTGGTTAGCTCTCATTACGGCACTTAATTACTGACTACTTTGCATTCTTAGTCGAATTTTTTACGTGTATATTTCTTATTCTTCACAACTACATTATCAAGCCCTGGAGGGAATAGAACTGCTTCTTTTGTATTGCCACCATCCAGCACCAGGCTAAGTATAGAGAAGGCCCTCAGTAAATACTTATTTGTTAAAATGAACAGATGAATTACACCCCAACTACTCAACAAAGCCTCATTCAAATTAAAAGTGACCTGTGAGGGGTGTGTGTGTCAGGAGAACCCTTTTATTTGTGACAATTATTTTAAGCACATAACTTGACATTTGGCGAAACTAAAGAAGGGTAGCACTTTGGGGAATACTCCACACCTGCATTTCTTCATGGGGGAGTCCCAAGGTCGTAGCTAGGATTGTAAACCCTTCACAGCCTCCTCTCTAAACTGCACTTGGTACGTGTCCCTGCTTACTCCCACAACCGCCTGACTTTATGTACCACAATACAGAACATCAGATGGATTCAAAGACAATATGAGCTGCATCACTTAACCTCTTATCCCTGGGGTTTGGGACGTATTAAAAAAAAACATGTTCAAAAAACAAAGCTTACAAGGGTACAGTTAAAAGGACACCCTCATACAATACTGGAGAATATAAACTAATACACCTTCATGACAGGCAACTAGCAATAAATTCTTACTCCCACTTGATGGTCCTAATTAATTTCATCCACCCTAGCGTAGATGGAAATGTTGACAGAGATTTGTACACAGGGATAGTTATCTAAGTCATAATCCTAACAGCAAAATGTACAAGTAACTAAAATGTCCAAAACAAATGTTAAGTAAATTGCTTAGCAGAGAGAATAATACTATGTAGCCAAAAATGTTTTGAAGAACATTTAATAATGTGGGAAATGCTTACATTTTAATATTGTTTCCAAAATTTTGCAGACTAGAATCCCAATTTTGTTTTCCAAAACAAAATACGTATAACAATGTTATGTGTATGTATTACACTACACAAAAGGAAATAACTAACCACTTTTAATGTTTTGGAGGTCTTTTAGTAAATGATTTTTTTCTTTATACATTCCTGTATTTTCCATATTCCCTACATAGAGGATAGATTAACATATGATGAGGGAAAACAGCATAATTAAATACATTTAAAAAAACAAGTGTAGCTTCATGAACACAAAGTGATCTTTACAGAATCTAAAAAACAGGAATTCAGTACAAATCTCAAGAGGGGCAGAATATACTATACCCTTTCAGAGTTTAAGTTGATTGTTTTATCACTGTGCGATACTAGAACTTGGCCTGTATTTCCTAGTAAATTACAACCAAATTACAGCCAAGAACAAAGTAACTGTGGTCTGTGCTCATTTTCTCCTAGGAGGATAAGAAAATGAAGAGCTCTGATAAAAAATATTTTAAAACAATGCCTTAGTACAGCTTCTGAGGCTTGGGTAAGACAATTCACACAGCTAATGTATTTTGAGAGGCTTCTTAAAGGGATGTTTTATAAAGTGACAGTTCCTGTATTTAAGAATACAGAAGAATAATAAGAGGTTTATTAACAGAATTAAGACTGTCCATTTTTAACTACCATATTTTAACTATCATACACTGCCATGACAAAATTTCTACAGCTACCTTTGAACTTCCAGTATCAGCAACAATAACAAATATTGTATCACTTGTCATCAATCTCTTCCTTTCTCAGATGGCAACCCTCACCTCCAACACATGTACACGTGTGTACACACCACACACACACACACACACACACACACACACACACACACACACACCAGCACAAGTCAAAATACAGTCAGCACAGCAGTGTGGGGGGTGGCCAGGATTACATACCTGGTGTTTATCTTTTCACTGACATTCACGTTCACTCCTCTACCAAACATTTATGCTGAGTTCTAGCATTGTTTTAAGTGTTGGGGAGAAAGTAAAAAAAGGGATAAGCTAGGTCCCTTTTCCAATAGCTTACATTTTAGAGGGGAAGAAAAACAAACACAAATAACATATTGCGACAAACTGAAAGTAAAAGCACATATAAAATCTAGCTCTTTTAAATCAGATATTAAAGAGATTTGTAAAAATGTAAACAAATGTTACTTCTCACTCTCTTTTGGAAGATATTTATTTATCATAAAACTATCTTTAGGGTGAAATTGGTTTAATATTGTTATTTTTAATTGAATTAATAAAATTTTATAAACTTCCCAGTTTGAATCTCTAATATGGCAAATATTGATAGATAAAATCCTATAAGAAAAACTCTTGGGTTCTCAATCATGTTTACAAGTATAAACAGGTACTGAGACCAAAGTCTGAGAACCGCTGATCTAAGCACATGTAAGCCTGTGAGTCTCATCAGCCTGGTGGTGGCTGGGCTGGCTACGCTGACGCTCCCGGGATGCTCACCACTCTTCCAGTCTCTGTCCTGTTCCTCTGGAGACAATATATCCCACAAAGCAAGATATCCCAGCCTATCTACCTCTATTTCCTGCCATGGCACATGCTGGAAGTTGCCTGAGAATTACTGTAGAAGGCAGTTCAGTGCAGTACCTCTGGCTGGAGCTGGCTCTGAAAAGCTCCTACAGTTCACACAGGACAAACTGGAGTTAAGTTTGGGAGGGGGGCATTCAAAGTATCTTTATAAGTTTCTGGTTGCTGTCAGGTTCTGGTTCAGAGGGTGAGCATGTTTTATGCACTGTGAGTGCTTCTTTTCAATCCCTCCCCAATTCGGGCTGTAGAAACTGCACCAGAGAAGTGTGGCCTGGGGAACACTACTACCAGTTTTCATTCTTTTCAGATTTTACTTCATTGGGTATTTTAAGCAGAACATGGATAGAGATTCATGGGGCACGTGTAGTTTGCTGCCATGCTAACTACAAATTCATGTTTTAATTCAGAAAGAAAATAAAAAACTCACCTGCTCTGGGCTCATATACAGTTTGGTCCCCACTTGTCCTGTGTGTCTGGCATATGCTGGCATTGGGGTCAGAGCCATCTGCTCTTCCTCGTCCTGGTCCATTGCGGTCACTAACCCAAAGTCTCCAACCTTGACCACGTCGTCCATTGTAAAGAATATGTTGGAAGGCTGAAAAAATCGAAGCAGACAAAAAGCACAATGGAGAAGGAAAGTGAAGAGAATTTATTTAAGTGACTAAACAAAACAAATACAAGAAACCAGACATTCTCAAGCATGTGTCTGTTTAAAATGAGCTAATATGAAAATAAAAACAACTCTTCCATGCTACACAAGTACTATGATAAAGCAGAGGGAGCGAGCATTTACATTTAGCCCATTTAGCTCATGAGTTAGCAAATAGTTAGCATCTATTTAAACCCTTAGAGATTGACATTCCCTAGGGCATTCTACTTAACGTTCAATGTTATTCTATGTACTCTCTCTCTGGTAAGCTTCTCTACATTTCTTAATTCATGATTATAATAGTAATAATAATAGAAAACGCATCTATAGCACTTGCAATACATCAAGAGCCGTCTAAGCTGTTTACTACTATTAACTCATATAATACTCACAACCCTGTTAGTTCTATTAGTCTTTCATTTTACAGATGTGAAAACTGAGGCCCAGGGAAGTAAAGTGCCCAAGGTTCCCCAGGCAGTGAGCGGTGGTGGGGCAGGGATTCAAACCCAGGCAGCCTGGCTCTGTGAGAAAAGGGCTTCTGCTTTGTGACCACAGGTCCAGCATTCTGTACAGTTCTGCCCTATGGTGGCTGATCACTGCCATTTGGTGAACGAATGGCACAGCTGGTATTTGGGTTGGTGTCTGCAAGGGCAAGGAGGCTACCATGGAGAACAAAAGCTCCTAGCTAAAACCTTGTGCTGCCTCTTCTAATACCCATATGCTCCCATATAGTCTAAGACTTCTACCCCGAGTTCTAAACTCTCACGGGCAACTGTTTAGAAGGTACAGCTAACCCAATTTCTCATGGGCTCCTCAAACTCAAAGTCCCCTTCATGAAAAGTCCCGTTCTGAAGTGTCCCTCAGAGTCTACTCTAACCCCTGCTAACATGACCACCATCTACAGCTCTTGAAATAAGGCAAAAGGAAGCCATTTAGCTCATGAAATTGAACTTCATCAGTCTTCAAATACTGCCAAATAGCATTTTATTCCCAAACTCCAAAATATCATTATACAATTTTGACTTTGAAGCAATGAACGAGTTATTGCACATAACCAAAGTCTGTAATAATAACCTCCTGCTCTCCCACAAATAATCTTATGAGAGATAATAACAGACTATGCTGCCTTAAAGTTTATCCCTCCTCCCCTCTCCCATCATCTGCTGTTATTTACTGAACACTGTAATAGGCTTTTTAAAAACTGATTTATTTTTAGGCTCCCCAGCATCTATCCCCCTGTGCTTCCACCAGAAGTATCCTGACTTGAATCTGGGAACTCTCTTCCCTACTGTGCAGAAACCCCATGGTCCCTGAGGAATGCATGCGTGGTGGCATAAACCAACCAGCTTAATCCCATCTCTCAGTCAGGACAGTGGTTTAGAGATGGGTGTGTGTCCCCGGCCCATATCAATTGGAAAGGAAACCCAGGACTTCTAGTCAATAGTAGGGGAAAGCGACACTTTCCCCCTGCCTCCTACCCCCCAGTCCAAAAGACTTCAAACACGTCGCCCTGAGACTCGTTGGCAGCTGCCCTGAGACTGTGAAGGGAGAGCCTGCTTAGAACGGAAAAAACAAGGAATGGGGTGACAGGCAGGGGGACGATGTTCTGGCCAAATCACGTGATCCTAGACAAAGCTTTACTTGAATTTGGACAGTTCAATGACATGGGCCAATAAATTTCCTTTTTTGATTAAATTATTATAAATACTTTTGGTTACAAACAAGAGAAAATTCAAAATAAAATGATATGAGCATTCAGGATGTCTCAGCCATTGTGCTACGGATATAGTAGGTGAACAGACATGGCTCAGGGCTCATGCTCCTGTGGAGACCAGGGGATAAATACGACTGTGATAAGATTTATGATGGAGAAATACCAGGCTCTAGGAGGGCGCTGCGTATTTAAGGAACTGAGAAAAAACCCCAGTGTAGCTTGAATGAAGAGAAGAAAAGATTAGAAGTCTGGAGAATCAGGGTCCAGGGAGTGCTGATGACAAAAATGTGACCAAAAAGCAAAATGGGCAGAGGGCCTAGGAGGCTTGATATTGAGCTCAAAGACTTAGGTCAGAATGAACAGAATGCATAACTTTTTCAACTGGGAATAAAAATCTTGGGGGAATTTTTTTTTTCTGGTTCACTAGAAATCTATAGAAGGAATTTATCTTTAGAAAAGAATAAGCTTTTTGATTTCTAGAAAAACCAAAGAGAAAATCAATGTTCTTCTTGAAATTATTTTGGTGCATAGAGAAATACAGGAAAAATCTTTAGACAACATTTTTAGTGTCAAATATTCACCGATATTTCATTAACACTGTAAAATCAGCAGAGTACTTAAAATTAGCAAAAACATAATTACATGCCTTTCAACTTGGCATTCTGTGTACACAATGAGTGTTAAGTACACGAAGAATGTGCATATCAGCTAATAGGGTTCAACTAAATGATGTTTACCATATTCCAATAGCCAGCACTCTCTCAAGTTAGGAATATCTAGCCTCCTGGTAACCTTTTCCCTTCTAACTAAAATAAATTATCTTTGAACTTCTCATTCGGTGCAGAATAATTCTTGGCAATCAGTTTTGGCCCATATCAAAATCACTGAAGCACAGTGATTATATATAACTCAACAACAATTACTTTGGAAAAGAGGAATTATTTCTAATACTTGTCCCTCCTATTCCAAACTCTTAAAATATATTCAAGGATTAAAAAACCCACTGATTTTAGAAGAAAATAATTCATCCAAATAGCTACTCTGGTGCCTGAAACAAGTTTGTGGTTACATAAAACAAAACTAAAAATAATTAAATGAGTCCAAATCTATCAAGAATTTAAGCTACTTCCATCAGAAAAATATTGACATATTCACTACATATCTATGTTCACTACGATGATCACTCTGAGCATATGGAATATGGCAGAAATCAGTTAAATAAAAGTTCTACGTACTTACTTCAGAAACATACTGAGGAAATACTGCATGTTTTAGTAAGAATCTTATGTAATTTAGCATAATGCTTTGCTACAATATCCAATATTGTATATACTAAAAATAGATTCAAAGGTTTTAGAGCTGCAAACAATCACCTGGCTAACCATGGGCCACCTTTCATCAGCCTGCTTCTCACCTCCTTCCCCAAAGCCTGAACAGTTCAGGAACAGGGGCAAAAAGCAGAGTGATTTCACTATGCTACCTCGGGGCCCTACGGGAACCTGTGTCAGGGTTACTCAAAACCGTGAGAAAGTCTATTTATTCATGGTGGATTTCAAATCAGTTTTTTTTTTTTCCTTCAGGAGACTGGGAATACTTTTTACTGTAGCATGGACATAAAAACACATTATACAGGAGAATTCACGATTTGCCTGAGGTTTTTAAAACATGAGATTTCTTATTTTTGCAGCAGGCCCCTCCAGGCTACTTTCCCAGACCTCTGTTCCCGACGCCGTCACTCTCCTCCACTCTCAAGGGGACTTCAGTTAAAACCCGCAAATACTGCATGTACTGCACAAAACATCGGACTGAAACGCTGGGGGATGGCTCATGAATACAGACCTTGAGGTCTCTGTGCATGAGCCCTTTACTATGCAGAAACTCCACCGCCTCAGCAATCTGCAGGAAGATGTGCAGACACACACTCCTCTCTCTCTCCTCTATGGTGCATCGGCTGTTCATCCAGTCTTTGAGGTTCTCCTTCCTACATAGCTGCATCTGAATGTAAAGGTACACCTTTGGTGAGCTGGGCTGGAGTTTTTCCGTGGTGTTTTTGGTAAGATTTAGGCTCAAAGTGGTTGGCCTTGGAAGAGAAATAGACAAAGCAGGTTCCGAAGAAGATCTGCTACTGGAATGCTTGGTAGCAGCTAGTTTGTGAGCATAATGGTTGCCAACGTGCAGTCGGTTAGTTTTGAGCTCTTCTTTACTGGATGCGTTATCACAGCCTGAATCTTCAAATACTATAGAAGAAGAGGTTCTCTCCCTTGACCTTCCATGAGGAGAGGCTTCAGAAGGACAAAGTTCAAAGGAGTGCCCGTCATCGCGGCCATCCACAGTGCCACCTTCCACATCACAGTCTGTAAGGCAACTGTCCTGGAGGTTATGCGCTCCACTCACTGACTCACTGCCGTCTCCACCATCCATTCCTGAGAATTCCAGTGGAGAGAATTCGCTTTCAGATGAACTTGTGTGGCCACAGGAAATCCCCACTGAAAAAGACCTGCTTCTTTGTGGTGAAGGATCTATAATTTCAATATGTTCCTTTGTAGAGACAGGGTCCATTCTGCGTATTTTAACTGATGGTGCATCCATTGGACTAGGAGAACTAAGAGGCCATTCAGTGCTAAACATGAGAGAAATACAAAGGGATGAGAGTGAATATGTATGGATTAAATTATGTGAACCACATCCTTTGTTTTAAAAGCTTCAACTACAATAATGCCAGCTACCAAAAGACAAACAACATACAGATTAAATAAAAAAATGCTATAGGAGACAAAGTACATCACACTCCATCCATTCCTTCTAAAAAACTTAATTTTAAATGTTAATTTTAAATTTGGAAAGATTATCTGGGACTACCATGCTAGGGCAGCAAAGGTCTTCATGCAAAACACAAAGCACAGAAGGAGAAACAAGGACAGGACCCCTCGGTGGCTGTGACTCTGAAGCCCCTAGCTCACAGGGTCTGGAGAGCAGGGGCCACGTCATGTGATCCTCCCATAGTTTGTTTATTGGCTGAGTCTATAATAAGTGTTACTGTAATGAGGGCTGTGTTTGGTACTTAGGCAGGAATTTTACTCCAGCTGTTTGCAAACTGCTTCCTCTTTGTTCTCATTTAGTTTTTAAAAGGGCCTTCCCTCCTATAACACAGCATATTTAATATGGGAATTATCTTCAGGTTGCATAAATTTATGCATTTTATTTATTTATTTTTTTTTTTAGCTGAGCCATCCTGCTACCTGTTGGCAGCTCAGCGGCAGCTCAGCTCGGGCCGGGCATCGAACCGCTGTTGCTTAGAGCTCAAACTCTTGAGCGAGCTCTTAACCAATTGAGTCACTTGGCCAGCCCCAGTTTATGCATTTTTAACTGAAAATAGTTGACAACTACTTTAAAAAGGAGTTGTAGCTTATTAACTGTTAAGAAACTGAATAAAAAATTTAAAATACATAGACAAAAGCTATCTCTTATTGAGAAAAGCCACTGTAAATCCTTCAGTGAATTACAATTCATAGAGCCCTAACTACTAGTAACTTTAAAAATTCATGTTCTGGATCAGTGCTGCCAGCAGCATGGTGGTGTTAAAAGACCTCCGGGTCTCTCCCCTTGAAGTTACAAGAAGTTGGACAGCTATAATTCAACAAAGGATTCCCTGCTCAACACACAAACATGTCTGAGAGATCTGTGCATTGAGACTTCTCAAGGTGGAGAGCAATTCAGGTGAAGCGGGGGACAGGACAGGGAAGGACAGAAATAGGAGCTGCACACCCAATCTGGGGCTTGCCGAGGCCCCAGTGGGTGTGGTAGCAGTGACAGGTCATGGTGCGACCCCCGCTGGGAGAACTGGAGGGGCAGAGGCAGCAATTGGGCCTGGGTGGCTGAGCCCAATGGGGGCAAGCCGTACAAATGGTGGCAGTATTCCACAATTCAGCATCACCAGACAAAGGATTCCGTAGATGCAGAACCCTTCCAGCCCATCCTCCCTGACCCACTTGGCAGTAAAATCCTCACTTGGCGAGAGGGCAAGAAAAACTTTCCAGCCTAAGTGGTTTGTACTCATTGCAGCTAAATCCACTAGAAAAAACAGAGCCACAGATGTGCAAACCCACTCCTTCCTCCCCACCCCCTCCCATACCCATCTGGGGACCCTGGTAGCCGTCAACTCAAACAGAGCAGCTTCTGGCTACAGGAAGGCGACTTCAGAAACACAAGTCAGGAGACTGTAGCCTGCCACATCCCACCACGGGGGTGGTGTCCTGAGACCAAGGCAACTGGGTTGTAAAGGTGAAGCCCACCTCCTCAGTGAATATGGGGTGTTTTCCACTACAGAGGTGACTGCCCCACAGAGATTCCCGGAAGCCCCAGCAGTGCAGATAAGAAAAAATAAAAACTTGTGCTTCAGCAACACCTACTGGAAAACAAAGAAAGACCTCTACTTATCAACTTGCTAAACAGTTAAGAGTCAAATACTTAAAAAATATTATTTCATTCCCACAAATGCCCAAGCAGAGAAATAATCCATCAAGTACTATGAATAACCAAGGTATCGAGGGAATTCAGAAAGAAAATGAAAAATCTCCAGAAAACAAACTTAAAGACACAGAAGACTGTGATTTAAATTACAAAAAATTTAAGATTGCAGTTCTGAAAAAATCCAATAAGATACAAGAAAACTCAGAAAAGCAATTCAAAGAGCTCAGAAACAAAAGTAAAAAAAACAAAAGGAGTACTTCACCAAAGAAATTGAAACTATAAAAATAGAACCAAAAAAAAAAATTGTGGAGTTGAGGAACTCAATAAATGAGATGAAGAGTGAACTAGAAAGCTTAGGAAATAGAGCAGATCTAATGGAGGCAATAATTAGTGATACTGAAGATAGAAATCTAGAGATGACTCAGGTGGAAGAATAGAGAGAATTGAGAGTAAAAAAAAAAAAAATGAAAGAACTCTACCAGAACTATTTGACTCCAATTAGAAAGAGCAATGTAAGAATAATGGGCATACCAGCAGATGGGAGGGAGAAGGAAACAGAGAGTTTAATTTAAAAAATAACTGACAAGTACTTCCCAACCATATGAAAAGAACTGGATTCTCAAATCCAAGAACCTAAAAGAACACCTAATTATCTCAATCCAAAAATGTGCCCTTCTCCAGGGCACTTTATACTAAAATTGTCCTAAATTAAAGACAAAAAAAGAATTCTCAAGGCAGAGAGGGAAAAGAAGACAGTAACCTATAAAGGAAACTCCATTAGAATTTCATCAGATTTGTCAGCAGATACCTCACAAGCTAGGAAAGAGTGGAATCAAGTATTCAAGTTATTAAAAGAGAGACATCACCAGCCAAAAATAATATATCCAGCAAAGTTATCCTTTAGATATGAAGGAGAAATAAAAGCTTTTCCAGACATATAGAAGCTGAGGGAATTCACTACCACAAGAACTACATTACAAGAAATGTTGAAAGGTGCTCTTCTGCCTGAAACAAAAGACAAAAGGATCCAAAACTATAAGATGACTGACAGACAGAAGCAGGAAATTACAACTCTTGTTCAGAATAGGCTATTAAATACTTAAATATAACACAAAGATTAAGGAGATAAAAGCATTAAAAAAATAAAAAAGACAACAGCTACTTCCATTTGGAAATGAACGCACAAAAAGGCAGCCTACTGAATGGGAGAAGATACTTGTCAATGATATATTGATAAGGGGTTAATATCCAAAATTTATAAACACTCATGCAGCTCAACACCAAAAAAACAAACAACCCAATTAAAAAATGGGCAGAGGAGATGAAGAAACATTTCTCTAAAGAGGACATACAGATGGCCAACAGGCATATGAAAAAATGCTCAACCTCACTAATTATTAGAGAAATGCAAATTAAAACCACAATGAGATACCACTTCACCCTGGTCAGAATGGCTATCATCAATAAATCAACAAACAACAAGTGCTGGCAAGGTTGTGGGGAAAAGGGAACCCTGGTGCACTGTTGGTGGGACTGCAGACTGGTGCAGCCACTTTGGAAATCAGTATGGAGGTATCTCAAAAAACTGGAAATAGAACTACCTTATGACCCAGCAATTCCACTCTTAGGTATTTATCCAAAAAAACCCAAGACACTAATTCAAAAAAATATATGCACCCCTATGTTCATTGCAGTGCTTATTTACAAGATTTGGAAACAACCGAAATGCCCATTGGTAGACGACTGGATTAAGAAACTGTGGTACATTTACACAATGGAGTATTACTCTGCTATAAAGAAGAATGAAATCGTACCATTTGCAACGATATGGATGGACCTAGAGAACATTATGCTAAGTGAAATAAGTCAGTCAGAGAAAGACAAATACCACATGATCTCACTTAGATGTAGAATCTAAAGAACTGAATAAATGAGAAATGTAAACAGAAATAGTCTCAGGGACACAGAGGAAAAACTGAGGGTTGCTAGTTGGGAGGGGGTGGGGATGAAGAAGAAGGGGAAGGGACAAGACAACATAAATTGGTAACTACAATATGGCCTCAGGGATAGAAAAGACAGTTTGGGGAATAGAATCAATAATGCTGTAAATATTTTTTAGGGGGCCAGATGGACTCATGTCTTGTTAGGGAGACCACTTCATAGACGGTGTAGAGGCCTGACCACTGCACTGTATTTCTAAAGCTGATGTTGAATAATATTGTATGTCAACTATAATTATATATACATATAGGCACGGGATGTGGAGTAGAGGGTGGGAATGGAGTCAGTGGAATTGTAATAGATAAGCATGATATCGGGGGTGGGAGGGCAGTGGATGGGGGGAGGGGGGCTGTCACTTTGTGAGGGGTGAAAAGGATAACTATTGCATTGTTTTATACACCTGAAACTAATAGTAAAAAATAAAATAAAATAAATTAATGCAACAAAGAACTGGTTCTTTGAAAAGACTAATAAAATTGACAAGCCTCTGGTTAGACTCACTAAGAAAAAAAGAGAAAGACTCAAATAAAATCAGAAATGAAAGAGAAGTTACAATGGACATCATAGAAATACAAAGGAATATACAAGAATACTATAAAAGGCTATACACCACCAAATTCAATAACCTAGAAGAAATGGACAAGTTCTTAGAAATATATAACCTTCCTAGACTGAATCATGATGAACTAAAACAGAAAAATCTAAATATACCAATCAACAGTAAGGAAATTGAAACAGTCATCAAAAACCTCCCCAAAAGTAAAAATCCAGGAACAGATGGCTTCACTAGTGAATTCTACCAAACATTCAGAGATGATTTAATATCTGTCCTTCTCAAACTCTTCCAAAAAAATTGAAGACTAGGCAATATTTCCCATCTCACTGTATGAGGTTAACATTACCCTGGTACCAAAACCAGGCAAGGACAACACAAAGAAAGAAAATTACACCAATATCTCTTATGAACACAGATGCAAAAATCCTAAACAAAATACTAGCCAATCAAATACAACCACCAGAGGGGAAGGGGTTGGGGTTGGGGAGAGATGAAGAGTTAGGTAAAAGGGGTGAAATACATGGTGACAGAGGAAGACTAGACTTTGGGTGGTGAGCACACAGGACTGTACACTTGAAACTTGTGTTATTAACCAATGTCACCTTAATAAATTTAAAATATTCATGTTCTAGACAAAAAAGAAGAAAATCATGTTTAAATAGTAAATGAACTTGCCACTTAACAAGTGATTAGAGAACTTCCCAAAACATGAGAGATAACAGTAATCCGCTGTTATTTTTCTTTAAAAAAATCACCTCTAACATTTTACCAATCATATTTTGTTCACATAAGCAAAAACTAACCTGAAAGAAAACACTAGATTTTAAGTCTATGTCTAACAATGTTACCTTTCATCTTTCAGCCAAATTTCATCCATTTTTTCTTGCCATTTCTCTGGTGGTGCTTCCAACCAAGCATTGAAATACCTAACAATTCCGGGGTGCTCAAGCTTGGCTAAGGCTTTAACTTCTCGCATTACCTTTTCCCGAGCCAATTCCCTGAAATAGAGAAAAACAGAAGACACTGAAGGGTGCTCTGATCTGCAGAAGTAATCATATCCAATAGTGAGAAATAAAATTCTTCCTTGAATGTAAAATTAGAAACAGATGAATTACCCTAGTGGATAATTCTAAAATGCCACCTGTATTTAAAAAAATATGTGGTATTTTAGTTTTGTTTAGTTTTGTTTTGTCTTCTAGAATTAAGTGCTACAAGCACTTCTAGTGCTTCATTCAAATCTTGGCTGACTGAGAATGAATGATTACAGACTCTGAAAGATTACCGTTTGTTAATGAATAGAAAGATGAAGGGGCACAAGTGAAGTATTCAGAAGAAAGAGCTCAGCATCACAGCTCCGGAGGATGGACAATGACGCCCCTACGTGGTACATATTACTGTATAATCCAAAAAGCTTGTCCTAGAGCAAGTTTGTTTGCTTGTTTGTTTAAAGCAAGCCTCAATTACCGAATATCACAGGCAATGAAGTTTAACTAGAAAAGCATCTGGATTTGATCTTTTGCCTTGACAGCTTTTCTGATGGATCTAATCTCACATTTCTCACATTTTTAGGGATCCCACTATCATCTGAAACAACATAATAAGTTATATCCTCCTCTCTCCCCCCCTCCCCCCCTCCCCCGAGATGATCAGCTACTTCCACTTTTCCCCCTGTGCTTTGTTAATGTCCCCGCTCTCTGAGAATCCTGGTACGTTTTTTGAATTCGCCGACTTCTAGGTCCTCCTCACATTCTTAACAATTCCTATCAGCGCCTCTTTTTTCAATTCCTCACACTCATTCCTGTGTCATCTGCCTCCACTGCTGCTGCACTAATGTTCTGCATCCTCAGACTAAATCTTTGTGCAAAGAAATCTCCTAACGTTCTTGTCTATGGCCCTTTCCTCGTATCAGCCATCTACATACTACCTCCAGAGTCACCTCCAGTTGGATCACGTCATTCTTCTGTTCCTTCTTCGATCACTTCATTCTTCTTGCTTGACATTTAAGGTGCTGCAGCCTACCCATCTTGTCCATCTTCTCCCCCATCCCCCCCCATTCTTAACCCTTTGCTGCACACATGCCAGAACACTCACTATTCTCTTTACTACTGTCGTGTGTTTGCCTAGAGCCTTTGCTCAGGCCCTTCCATGTACTCGGACATCCTTTCCCTACACATCTGTCTACCGAGGTACAAGCTACTCTTGAACACTCAGCACAGACGTCACTACCTCCACAAAGCTTGCCTTCCTTGACTGCCTCTTGGCTACATATCTGCACTTTTTTCATGAGAAGCTATTTATTTAGAAAAGCTATGGGTCACAATCATCCTTTCAGTGCGTTGAGTATATATACAAAAGCCTCAAATGTAAGTTATAAGTTCTTGAGCACAGAAGCCTTTCTTAATTTTATCCTATGAGGTGCTTTGCATATATGAAAAATTATTGACCAAAGAAAAGAATTAGTCCTGTAGTACTCAAACCATCCTGTTCCTGAGTCCCCATCTGTTGGACAGAGCGTTTGATTACCAGTTAGGAGAACAGCCCAGCTCGTGCATGTTTAATCAAGAATCCACAGGCACCTTCTACAATATGTGGGAAGGAAGGTATTACTAGAAGCTCCTCTTAAGCATCCCGGTATTCTGAGCCACAAATCCTACCTACTGCGAGGACTCTACCCCAAGGAAGCAGATGTGATAAAAAATATATATCAACGATGGACACTGCAAAGTTATTTTCAATTGCAACAAACGGGAAACTTAAATGCTTAACAATAAGAAACAGTCAAACATAATAATGGCACATGTATTAACTGGACTATTATCCAGTCATAAAAAACTTTTAATGTATTTTAACATTTTAATAAAATACTCTTAATAACATGGAAAATGCTGAGGATACAATGAAGGAAGCAAGAGATAAAACTATGCTGTATTGATAACTGCTACCAATTAGGTAAATTTATGACCAGAAAAAAATCAAAAGGAAATATTCTAAAATGTTAATAGTGGTTATTACTGGGAAGAGTACAGAAGATACAGATAATTTTTGTTTTAATACTCTTGCTTATTTTCCACAATAAATATACATTGTTTTTTAAGTGGTGCCATGTATTAAAGTCTATAGTTATTAAAATTCACTATGGGGAAGTCCTGAGTTGTTAAGAATCAAAAACAAAGGCAGATTTTTTTTTTAAGTAGATACAAAGCTATCAAAGTAGATTACGTCTTTTAGACATCTGGTTACCTGATAGAACTTAGAACATAAGATTTAGGAAGTAAGAAACTATGTTTGCTATAGTCTCTATGGACTATAGTAAGAAGGACACATTGCCTATGAGGTTAGATAATATAGTGCTAACTCCAATTTTACTAAAAGTACCATCCATTACCTGTTGGGAAGGCGGATTCTCTTGATAGCATAATTGCAGTCATCTACTTTGTTTCTAGCTTCAAAGACAACTCCAAACCCACCACGACCCATGCACTGAATTGGTTCAAAATCTGTTAGATATCTAAAAGAAAAAAAGAAAATTCTAAAATGTTTGCAAATAGTTTTAAATTTTGTAGTATGGTAATAATCAGTTCAATCTTATTTTATGATATATAAAAATGTATAAATTCAGTAAGCCTCATAGAACTTATTTTACTAAAGAGTGTAAATTCTCCTAATAGCATTCTTTTATTAGCAGTTCTTCTGCTTGTATAAATTAAACAAACACATTCTAATTTTTTCCTAGGAAATTTATAAAACATATAAAAGCTTCTGCTTCATTGGGAATCACTTGTTCTTAAAGCAACTGTACTACTGTTCTGTCCTATCCATCATCTACCAAAATATTCTGTCCTTAATTCTCTAACCTTTTACCTTCCATGGCATTCTGTACTCAATCCAAAAATGTAGTTTAATCTAATGTCAGTGCCTGTAAATTTTATGGAACACATTTAATCAATCCTATTACATTTAAGTACTTTTTAAGCCAGAAATTGCTCTAGGAACCAAAGCTACCTGAAATTGGCTGGGTTGCCTCACAAGTAGTATGCCCATCACCAAAGGTATTTAGCCAGAAGCTAACTCACTGTCATAGACGGACCTCTACATTGTAGCCCACTTCCCCCTTTAGTGCCTGACCTCGCTGATTTGCACTGTCCTTTTCTGCCAACTCCCACCAGGCTCTCTCACAATTTCGGAGCTTTTGCTTCTGCTATTTGCTCTGCCGGGATGGCCTACTTCTTTGTACTTAATGAAAATTCTTCCTTCATTCTGCTCATCTCGCCACCTCTGTAAGGCCTTCCTAGACCACTGACATTATTAATGTTCTCATAGTACTTTGAACTATTTAAACTTAATCTCAATATTTTGCAGTTTTTGTACGCAACTCACTCTCCCCATTGCCACTGAATTGTGGGGTCCTTGAATGCAGAGACACATTCCTATTTCTCTTTGTATATTCAGAGTCTGGGTTTACCTGGCAAACAGAAGGCCTAACAAATATTTCTTGAATAATGCATGAATGAATGAATGAATGAATGCATGCTGTGGAAGTTATTCTTCCACCCATATCAGGGGAGGAGTTGAATTAGATTATCTTTGATGTCCCTTATAAGGCCAAGTTTATTACTTTATGATTTGCACACTCCTATTAATTTAGTAGTTGGCTCAGCTGGTTAGAGCATGGAATTAAGGAGGAGAGGCAACAGATCCCAACCCTCCATGGACCAATTACCTTCACAGAGAATGAAGAGTAATACTCTGTATCCCTAAAAATAACTAGTCAAGGTACTTCAGTACAAATCCATCTCCCCAACTGCAAAAGCCTGTCAAGTTCATGTCCTACTCCTAGAGGGCCAACTGAGTTATCTTCCTATATTAAAGAAAACATCCATATGAAAATGGATATATCTTCTGAAATGAGAAACATCTTAAATATGATTACAGACTCTATAAATGTAAGTATCACCTTGCCTGAGGTCCCAACTGATAAGTGACAAATTTGGGACTGGGACTCACGACTGAATCCAGAGCTCATGCTCTTAATAATGCCTAGAATATATTATAGCAGGCACTTAACAACAAACATTAGGTATTATTACAGAGCTCCTGTATTTTAAAAACAATCAGCTGTACTCTTCATAAGGAATAAAGATAAGTCATTCAATTTTAGAGCACATTATTCTAAATCCTTTCACAACAGCCTTACAAATATATATTTATTCATCATACCTCACTCCTCCTCCTGTCTCTATCTACCTAAGTCTTACTTACTCATGATTTAAGATTCAATTAAAATATGACCTCATTTATGATGCATTCTTGAATCATCACAACCAGAGTTACTCACTTAGTGCATGGCTTTTTTCTTGTTTTTGTTTTACTCAGTATTAGCTTCCCCCATAGACTTGAAGCTTCTCCAAGACAGGCCCAGTCTTTCCATTTCTCTCAAAGCCTGAAACACTGTCCTGCACACGGTTGTTCAGAGTAAATGTTGCATAAACAATGAATGCCTTCGGTAGTGGATTACCCGTCAGGAGTTGTTGTGTCCCTTGCTCTCTCCCTCTGTCTCTCACACCTGCTGGTATTGCCAGCCACTGATGCGTTTGTCAGCATCTTTATTAGCAAGGCTCTGAAAGCCCTTACCGTTTGTTAGTCATCCAGTAAATTTTGCTTTGGGTAACTAGTAGTTAAAACTTGATTACAGGGCCGGCCGAGTGGCGCGATGGTTAAGAACTGGCTTGGGATGCCAGAGGGCCCCGGTTCGGATCCCACATATGAGGGCCAGTGACACTGCCCTCCACAGCTAAGATGCTGACAACAGCTCAACCTGGAGCTGGGTTGCCGTGAGTCTCCAGAGACGGCGTAGGCTGCAGTCCCTGTGGCAGTGGGTTGCCATGGGCTACCGTGTGTAGCCAGCAGCCAGCGTGAGTGGCCAGCAGCCGCAGTGAGCGGCTGTCCAGAAGCCGGCGACTGATCTGCCTCACCCGGGAAGAGCGCAATGATGGTGCCAACTTGGGCCAGTGAAGCAACGTCCTCCACAACTAGACTGAAGAACAAAACGACAGCAACTTGTCTGTTCCCCTTCCCCCAATTCCCCAATAAAAATCTTTACCAAAAAACCCCCAAAAAACTTGATTACAGTAAATTGTCAATTTTTGATGCTACAGTATAAATGCAGCTTAGATAAATGAAGTACACAGATAATCAAAATGTCACATATTTTAACTATATTTTCTATCTGTTCTGTCATAAAACCATTCACCTAGATATTAAGCAGTAAGGTTCCATATCTTTTCCTTGTTTCTAAAGTGCTAAGTATGATATCAAAACAAAGGGAAAAAGTAGCAATAATCCATGTAATACGAAAAACAAACCATAAGCACCATTTCCTGTACCACAAAGCATCAAAATCCGTACATGTGACAGGTTGTTGAGTTCCTACTTTTATTTTATTTTCAAATTGTTTTAATTGCCTTTTTACATAACCCACTTACCTCTCTGTTTTAAAAAAATGATCTATTCCCCCTATTTTTCAGTATATTTCCCTCCATTTTTCTACTTTTTATTCTAGACAGAATAAAGATGAAATAAATAATTGAGGATAAAGTAATATATGTAGATTTCTCATAGTCTAATAACAATTATTATTTGGTATTATTAATAGCTGAGTCTAGTACATGGTAGACCCTCAATAACTAAGTTATCTGATAAAAACTTAATTCGGTGGCTGAAATTCTAAACTTCTGTAACCCTCTATTTTTATCCATTTTTAGGGTACATACCATTTTGAATAAGTTTAAGTTATTTTAGGGTTAAATCTATGTTTAATTTACATAGTTATACATAAATTTTTAAAAGAAACAGTTAAACAAGATCTTATTTTAGAGGCTATTTCTTCTTTGATCCAAACAGTTGCCACGAGAAGCTACAAGACATACACATATTTTATGACAAGACTCTTACCGTGATACGTATCCAGAATTTTTTATGTCATTCAAGCTGCTGTCATCAGATTTCCCACTTGCAGTATCATATTTATTTTCAGTTTGACACTGAGTTTCAGATTCCTTCCTTTGCTGATAAGGAAGGGGGAAAAATCATTATCAGTACAAAGCTGAATGGAAGTTCGCTAACAATTTTAGGCTTTAAGATAACATTGAAGGGCTGGCCGAGTGGCTCAGTTGGTTAAGAGCTCGCTCAAGAGTGTGAGCTCTGAGCAACAGCAGTTCAATGCCCGGCCCGAGCTGAGCTGCCGCTGAGCTGCCAACAGGTGGCAGGATGGCTCAGCTAAAAAAAAAAAATAATATGAAAACTAAATAAATAATATTGAGAAAAATAAAAGCATTATAAGAACACAAAATACCACATTTCCCTTGTGAAAGGAAAGGGGAACGATGGGGTGAGAGCCAGATTGCAATGGGTTGAGGAGTAAATGAACAGTAAGGAAGAAGAAACGATGTATGGGCAACAATGATTATTTTATGATAAAACTTAAGTAAATGTAAGTTTTACATCAGCCCCCCACCACACATACAATTAGTTTTCTAAATTCCCAACACTTTGAAATAAATTAATTCTAAAATATGTCTTACTCTGTGAGGATGAGGATGAAAAAGTCTACGCACAATAAAAGTTGTTGTTATGATACAAAACAGAATAGTTGCAACTATTTCCTTCCACCAGTGTAAGAGGAGAACAGGATCCTTTTTGCGGATATTCTTGTTGTAATTTGTGCTGTCGAAAAATCTGACTGTGATTTTTGTGTTCCGTGTGCTCCGTTTGCCCCTTTCCCTCTGGTAGTATGGTAGATAATAACCATTATCTTCAAAAACAAACATTAGAAGGTTTTTTTAAAAATGGTAAACCAAAATAGATCCATCTTTAATTATTAAAATTATCTATTTTCCCATGACTTATAATGCTAATTAATTCCTTTTGTTAAAAGTTTCATCTCTTCTTTAACACATTTCAACAGCCTTATTTATCCTACTTTTTTTTTTATACTATGCAAATATATTTTCCTTTATTCCTTAAGTATCACGTTTTCTTTATACTGAATAATGAGACTTACAAAACATTTAATGTCTGTCTCACTGATTACCTCATTAATAATTCAATCCTTTAGCTGCAAGAAAGAATTAGTACTCAAAATTCCTTCAAGGACTTTAAATTTTACTTTCATTTAGTATCAATCAAATACCAAATTTTATCATGAATCATTCTTCACAAGCTGAAAGGAAAACATCTCTGCCATGCTCCTGGTCCATTCAGACTGTCAAAATGAGCTGGTCCTAGAAAGCAGCTCATCTTTTTTGTCTTGTTTTGCACCACCTGGGCAGATCACACAATTCTCCCTTACCTTGTATGTTGATCAATATCAGATACAGACTGCTGTTTCTAGCTCAGAGCCCTCTGCTTTTTATCAATTTAAATTCTATAATAATTTCCCAGTTTCAGCATCTGGAGTAACTGATAAGGAATCTATGTTTTTGTCTAATGCAGATTTGAGGACTTTTTTATATCTAACTGTTCAAAAGACTTTGATATCTACATATATCCCAACTTTAAACACACAGGAATGTATTTCACACCCAAGTTCACCTATTTGAGACTTTTGCACTAATTTCCCTCGTCTGTGAACAAAATTAAAATAACCTCATTTTATAGCATTTTCATGTAGCTCTATAGAGAACACCTGCTTTCTTCGTTATACAGACTTATTTTATATAGACTACATAGGCTGATAATTAAATAAGAACTAATAGCAAGAACTAATGCTTATTAAACACTTATTTGCCAGTCATGGTGCTAATTAAGATTGTATGTGCATTATCTCATTTAGACCTCACAACAACCCAACAAATAGATATGAGGATTTCTATCCTTGTTTCACAGATAAAGGAACCTAGACAGGGTGACGTTAGGTATGCCCAGCCTCGTACGTGGCAAAACTGGGATTTGGACCCTGACAATCTTGACTTTGGAGCTTGCACCCCTGCTTACCATTCACAACTGCCTCACAAGATATTTTATTTTCTACCCTCCAATTGATGACTACCTTTCATTTGAATTCTGTTAGTTAATTTCAAATTAATACATAAAATAAATAAAAAATAAAACTCGGCATTTTCAATCCAAGGATAATCACACTTACCATATGGATACTGCAAGATTGAAAGCGCTCCATTACTGTACTCGTCATGAGAAAACTTATCATTACTAAGACATTTGTCAAATTCATCAGACCCTACCAAGACAGGAGTTCTGGAAGGAGAATCTAAAAGAAAATGTAAAATCTTGACTGTTATGACTTTAATAAAAATGCATGTACCTCATTCATTCAAAAAACAGATATTCAACCACAAAGTTCAGTTCAAGCATGTAAGTCAAACAAATGGTTCAAGGTTCTTTCCCTTGAAAAGCAGTCTCATAGAGAAGATGAATCATCTAAACAAGTAGTTAAAATGTGATGAGATATGTGTGGTAAAAACATACACAAGGTACAAGATGATAACTGAAGGAAGTAGGTGGCCTACTATTTGATTTCAATTCATTAAATGTTTCAAAGAATATGATGTGACAACAAGATAATTTTTCATAAATCTTCTTCATATAAGTAGGTTAAGAGCTACATTTAGGCATGCTCAGTAAATACTTAAGAGTTTTTCTAAGTTGTATAGAGAAACATTTTAACATTGCATTCTAGAGAAGCAACTGCTGTTTCAATGAAATCATGTTCTAATTGATAATTAAATTTCATTAATGTCAGAAATACCTTCCTAATTTATCAGAAAATATAAAGTACATAATAGCTGTGGTCTTGTGATTCAAAAGTAGGGCAAAGTCACTCATGATTAGGCCTCTGAACACGTTAAAAAACTTTACAAAAGTTTATAATTCACTTACGAATTAAGGGTTTCCATTTGATTGTTGGCAAAGGAACAATTGCATTTTCAATATTAACAGATTCCAAGGCCTTGGGACTCGTAGGGAACTTCTCTGAAATTCTGACTGATGACTGCAGATAGAGCTGGCCTCTGTACATTCCTGAATCAACCAGAACATCATCAATTATGTTTAGGATAAAGCACCAGTGATTTTTTTTCAAAAAGATTCATTTTGATATAATAAAATTAGATTAATTCCAGTTATTTTTCATGTGTCACATAGCTCTTTTCAAAGAAGAATCATGCCTAAAGTACTCAAACTTGACCCGAAGGCTATTTAACAAAAATATGGGAGGAAAGTTACGCAAGGTCCATACAATTTCCTCACTGATTAATAATTTTCAGTAATTACTGGAAAACTAATCCAGTAGGAAAATTAAAAAAAAAGAAGTATTGTACTTTTATGAGACTAATAGCTTAGATGAAATAACTTTCTCCCTAAAGATACCTAACCACCCATAATTCTAGAGATATTGCTAACAATTCAGTTAAATATCACAACACATGTGTGACATGTTAATTTTTCAAATTCTTGCATTTCAATGAGGGGTGGGTAGCACTTTAATAGAATTTAAAGAATTCTGTGAGCACCTGACCACTAAAACTAGTTCAAATTAGATTCAAGGTTTTTCAAAATTTATTATATTAAAGGCCTTCAAGAGCCCAGTAGCACAGCAAAATTTTATTTTTATTTTTCAGATAAGTTGTATAGATGCACAGAAAAAAATAAACATAATCTTTAAGGGAGGAATAAATTGATATAGATGCAAATACAAATACAAGTGTAGGAAATTTTAGACTTTGAGGATATATAAGTAATTAGAAATCATGCTATATAATGGCAACATTTCTAAGTCTTTCTAATATAGATCTCATAGGGTAAAAATATGCTACAGTAATTAAAAGTTTCAGAATTGGATAAATAAGAAAAAAATTGCAGGAATAGAAATCAAGGGATAAATCTTAAGGGTAACCTAAGCCATAGAATGTATTTAGGAATTAAAACTACTATAGACACACCTGAAGTAGGAAGCAACAATGTAGGAGTAAAATCAAGATGTTACTATGTATTATCACTAGATAAAAGACATCTTCTCACCTAAGTAAACACTGTTTTCTGTGGCTCCTCGGGCAGCTTCTACAATGTCTTCTTCATCTTCTAAAACTTCATTATTAGATGCATAACTTGTATCATCAAAAAGATTGATGGGAATGACTTTGCCTTCCTTAACCAACCAGGCAGATGCAATGGGAGTACAAAACTAAACAAAAGTAGAAAAGAAATTTTAAATAATTTCAAGCAGTATTTATATATTACAACTGCTAAAATACCATTTAAAATCACAAATTTCTTTTTAATTTTTCTTTTTCCAGCTTTATTGAAGTATAATTGGCAAATTAAAAAATATATATTTATGATTATACAATGTGATATTTTGATAGATGTACACATTGTGAAATGATTAGCACAATAAGCTAATTAACATATCTATCACCTCACATAGTTATTGTGCGCATGTGTGTTGAGCATTTAAGATCTACTCTCTTTATTTTACAATGTATATGTATATCACATTGTCACGATATACACACCAAATATAGTTTTCACCTGTCAATTATACCTCAGTAAAGCTAGAAAAAAGTTCTTTTTTTTTTTTTTTAAAGATTTTTTTTATTGGGGAATTGGGGGAATGGGAACAGTGCTGGGGGATTGGGGAAGGGGAACAGACAAGTTGCTGTCGTTTTGTTCTTCAATCTAGTTGTGGAGGACGTTGCTTCACTTGCCCAAGTTGGCACCATCACTGCGCTCTTCCAGGGCGAGGCAGATCAGTCGCCGGCTTCTGGACGGCCGCTCACTGCGGCTGCTGGCCGCTCACGCTGGCTGCTGGCTACACACGGTAGCCCATGGCAACCCACTGCCACAGGGGCTGCAGCCTACGCCATCGCCAGCGACTCATGGCAGCCCAGCTCCAGGTTGAGCTGTTGTTCAGCATCTTAGCTGTGGAGGGCAGTGTCACTGGCCCTCATATGTGGGATCCGAACCGGGGCCCTCTGGCATCCCAAGCGAGTTCTTAACCATCGCGCCACTCGGCCGGCCCAAAAGTTCTTAAAATAAGAGCTCTTCTCTTGGAAAATTTCAAGTATGCTGTATAGGATTGTTAACTGCACTTGACGCCATGCTGCACGTTATATCTCCAGAATGTAGTCATCCCACGTAACTGAAACTTTGTACTCTTCGAACAACCTCTCCCCCCATTTCTCCTACCCCTAGCCCCTGGCAACCACCGTTCCGCTCTGCTTCTATGGAATCAACTTTTTTAGATTCCACGTATAAATGAGATGGTGTAGTATTTATCTTTCTGTCTGGCTTATTTCACTTAGCATAATGTCTTCCAGGTTGGGCCGGCCAAGTGGCGCATTGGTTAAGAGTTGGCTTGGGACACCAGCTCTTAGCAGCAGGACCCCGGTTCAGATCCCACATGAGGGCCAGCGATGCTGTGCCCTCCACAGCTAAGAAGGTGAACAACAGCTCGACCTGGAGCTGGGCTGCCATGAGTTGCTGTCGACGGTGTAGGCTGCAGTGGGCTGCCGTGAGCTACCATGAGTGGCTGGTAGCCAGCGTGAGCAGCCATGAGCTGCTATGAGCGGCCATCCAATGGCTGGAAAGCGACTGCCTCACCCAGGAACAGCTCAATGATAATACCAACATGGGCCAGTGAAGGGACGTCCTCCACCACTAGACTGAAGAACAAAACGACAGCAACTTGTGTGTTCCCCTTCCCTGATTCCCCAACGCTGTTCCCCTCCCCCAATTCCCCAATAAAATCTTAAAAAAAAAAATAATGTCCATGTTGTTGCAACTGACAGGATTCCCTTTTTTAAGGCTGAGTAATATTCTGTTGTGTATATATACACACATTTTCTTTATTCATTTATACACTGATGGATATTTACACGGATTCCATATCTTGGCTATTATGAATAATGCTGTACTAAACATGGACATGCAAATAACTCTTCAAGATATTGATTTCACTACCTTTGGACATACACCCAGAAATGGACTGCTGGGTTATATGGTGGTTTTATTTTTAATTTTTTGAGAAACATCCATACTGTTTTCCATCAATGGCTATGCCAATTTATATTCTCGCCAACAGTGTACAAAGATGAACTGTTGTACGCTGTTCACCAACATCCTCACCAACACTTGTTATCTTTTGTCTATTTCATAATAGTCATTCTAACAGATGTAAAACCACAAATTGCTTAAAACATAGAACACAAGTTACAAATACAAAATGGCAGTCATTTCTCTCTGCCCAATATGTTTCGTCAAACTGAGAAAAGAAGAAACATTTCATGAATTCTCGGTGGTGTTGGGTACCTGATATTCCCATTCCAGATGTCCTCCCTTCTTACTAAAGGCCATAACCTTCCAATCAGCAACTGAGATTTTTATCACTGTGTCCATCGTGGCAGCTTCCTGTTCTTCCACATCTGAAATAATTTTAGACTCTTCTTTGTTCTCACTGGGTTTTAAGGTGCTTTCAATAAATCCGGCTGTAGTTTCCAAGTCTGGAATATACCGAAGTTCAAAGTGGCCAACACTGAAATTCCACCTTAAATTTACAAAGGCATGTTTTAGAAATTTACACTTAAATAAAGGGACCAGAGAAAGAGCTCTTCTGGAGTGAAAAAGCAGATATTCAATTTTTGTGGTGAGAAAAGGAGCAACTTAACACAATCTTTCGGAACGGAGCGCTCTGCTAATTTATGCCACAAGAGGGCATAAGTTTGTCTTGACCTTTTAGAAACAATGATTCTGCGAGTTGTGAGCTGACATCAGCTCTGGGACAGATTTTCTCTCAAAACCTAAGAAATGTTCACATTTCCAAATCAGAGGGAATTTTTCAAAACACATCAAAGCCACTTTAAAATGAGGTAGCATGCAGTCTGCCTTACTTCTTAATTAAAGTCTGAGCACATTTCACTCAAGTGCAGAAAAATCAATATATCCTAATAAACCAATATAAACAGACAAACTGAACACATTAATTTTAGATTTATATGAAAACATGTTCCCAAAAGGCAACATGACCCAGTATACCAAAATGTCACCTCCAATCTCTACTGACTGAGATCTGACAAGTCACTTAACCTTTTTTAAGTTTCAGTGTCCTTACTTATAAAGTGGCAGTAATAATGTTTCCTGTATAATTTATAGAAAAATCACTTAACTATTGATAGTATAATATCTTGTCATTTAGACATAAAATGGCCTTGGAATTCCAACATCTGTTAAAAAATATATTCTTAAGGAACCTGATCTTAGACCCTAGACCCTTCATATTCTGGTAACTCAAAATTCTCACTAATTTGAACATCTGCTCCTAGGTGGCTGAGCACCCAGCAAGCACTCAAACACTTAAAAAACCAAATCCTATCAGGATGAAAGAGATCAGGTTACCAGCAAATGCAAAGCCCTACTTAGAGTTCAGTGAATGCAGAAAAAAACACATTCTTAACTGAGTA